CGTCGAGGCAAAAACTTATTGTAAATCATCCTTCTCGGGATTGTTCACTCAGAATAGATATTCCACACTAGAAAATATCGGAAACAGTTTTCCTGCCCTGCCAACATTCACAAAAAATTCAACCCCTTCTGCTGCCACACAAGTAGTCCCGCGTAGAAACCAAAACATAGCATCAAATAACACATCACAACCCTCCTCAAGTCACTATAGCATATCGAAAAAACGAAAATTAATCTCTCCTACCCCCCAGTCCCCCCATAACGCACCTATGTTTCCTTTTAATTTTGGGCCTTATAGACCCTTCCTGCTAATTCAAACATCCCTAATTGTCAAAATAAAACAGATCAGACAGTTCTACAAACACTTATTTCCAATTACATTTTAAATTTAATCACAAATATTTAAACTGGAGATGATATAAAAACAATAAGTCAAGATAGTATTTACCATGGAATAAAAAAGATTTTGGAGGATATTATCAATAAATAACATCTTCACAGAACTTAAATCATTAAAAATTTTGCAATGGAACGCTCGATCCGTTGTTTCGAATAAAAACAGCTTAGTTCATTTTTTAACAACTGAAAATATTGACATTGCCCTATTAAGCGAAACTTGGTTCAGACCAAATCAGAATTATATATTTAAGGGTTACAATGTAATTCGCCAAGATAGGAATGACGGGTACGCAGGTGTTTGCAATCTTAATTAAAACAACCATACCATTTTGTCAAATAAATATTAGAAACAATTTTAACGATGAAATTTTAGTCTGCGGTGCTACCGTTAAAATTAATAAAACAGAATTAAGTTTTCGATCTATATATAGACCACCTAAAATTCGTACTTCCAAAAATGATTGGATAAATATCTTCTCACAAGTCAAATCACCTTTTATAATTGGAGGAGATATGAATGCTCATAACTCAGTATGGGGTTCATTACAAAATGATGCAGTTGGTCACCAAATTGTTAGTAGTATTGAGGATCTAGATCTTGTAATTTTGAATAATGGTGAACCTACCTATCTTCCTAGATATGATACTCAAAAATCGATGATTGACATTTCCCTCTGCACACCTAATATACTTAGCTAGTAAAATCACCTGGTCAGTTTTATTTGACACCTTAGGCTCCAATCACTTTGCAATAACTATGAATTTTTCAATAACCTACACATCGCAGGAAACAATTTATCCAAAAAGCAAATGGAACATCAAAAAGGCCAATTGGGCTCTGTATACATCCTTAATTGAAAACATGTTTTCTAATAAAAGTAACTCCCTTAATACTTATGAAAATTATAACTTTCTAATAGATTGCATTAATCATGCTGCTATTAAATCTATTTCTCAATATAAAATTTTTAAATAAAAAAATCGATCCCCTTCGCCATGGTGGGACCCAGAATGTGATCTGATAATTAATAACAGAAAAGAAGCATTAGCAGTTTATAAACGTTCACCAAGCCTTGATAATTATCTAAAATGTTAGAAAATTACTGCTCATACTAAAAAGCAGCTGAAACAAAAAGTCAAAGCTAGTTGGATCAAATGGTGTTCTAACTTATGCAAAAATACTTCTAAAGAAATATGGTCACAAGCTAACAAAATGAAAATCACATAGTAGTACAAAACCCTTCAATGACACTTTATTAGAAGACTTCTTTAATAGAGTATCTCCTCCATGGGTTTAACATTCGCCTACACATCCTACACAAAGTCATCATTCAAATAATCACTTTCTATTAAAACCTTTTACTAAAACTGAATTAGACTTCGCTCTTAAAAACCACATTAATACTTCTCCTGGAATCGATCATGTAAAATACCCCATATTAATCAACGTACCAACGGTTGCAAAAAACATCTTTTACATATCTTCAATGATATCATTTAAAACAATATAGTCATCGAGTCCTTCAAAAATATCTTAGTCGTTCCTATCCTTAAACCCGGAAAGCATCCAAATATTGTGAGTTCATATAGACCAATATCCTTACTCTCATGCGTATTCAAAACCCTAGAAAGGCTTATAAAATTTAGATTAGATTGGTGGATACAAAAAGAGAATTTACTACCAGTTAACCAGTTTGACTACAAAAGAGGTTTTGGAACTCTAGACGCTTTAACAACACTTGTTGTTGATGTACAGAACAATTTAACTAGGAATAACTATTTAACAGCCCTATTCTTGGATATTGAAGGAGCATATGAATCAGTTTGTTTGTCAATATTGAAATTCAAAATGGTAAATTTCTTTCATTTGCCAATTGCTTTCGTTAACACAATTATCGGTTTCTATACAGACAGGATAATCTACGTCAGAGACCATAATAACAAACTAATAGGACCTAGACACAACTATCACGGCATACCACAAGGCTCGGTATTATCGCCAATTTTATTTAATATGTATACCTCTGACATACATAATATGCAAATAAACAACATCCCATTTAAAATAATACAATATGCAGATGACTTTTGTGTCTATACAGAAAGTAAGAAATATGAAAACGGTATGCAAAACCTAAGCAGAGTATGTAGTTCTCTTTTCCCATGGTACTTAGAGAACGGCTTAAATTTATCAATTGCCAAATCAGCAGTATCTGTCTTTACAAGACACAACCTTTCTCTAAATCAAAATATACTTCTAAATAATCAATCTTTTATTTTAAAAACCATGTCCAATACCTGGGCCTTATATTGGATAAAAAATTGACTTGGAAACAACACATACAATATATGCTGGATAGATGCAACAAAGCTAGTAATTTTCTTAGAATGACAACCAAAGTGTGGTGGGGTTGCGATGTAGAAACATCCTTATTGTTTTACAGAGCTTATATACGATCCATTATAGATTACGGTGCTACTCTTTACGGTTCTGCATCTAAAAATCTTCTAAGAAAAATTGACATTTTTCAAAATTCTGTCTTAAGGGTCTGTTTAGGTGCTATGAGATCTACCCCTATACAACCACTACATGTTGAAGCTTATGAGCCTCCTCTCTCGATAAGAAGAAATTTATTAAGCGAAAAATGGGTACTAAAAGCCCATTCAACAAATCACAAATTATTTTCCAGTATATGTCAACTTAACGAATCAGATATCACTCCACAAATATGGTTTAAAAAGCCATCTCCACCTTTGTGCACTGCTTTATAGAACAATTCAATTTTTTCAAAGAATTTGGCCAAAGTGGAAAAAAATTTAGACTTCTTTGCTCTCTTCCATAATAATACCCACATATAGTGACAACAACAAATTGAGCAACAATATTCTGAGACCTGTTTTGACCTGTTATAGTGATGCCACAGTTATATACACGGACGCATCCAAATCAATAGAAGGGACTGGCTGTGCCTATTTTCTACCCTCAGGAGGTTTTGAATTTAAGTACAAACTTTGTCTTTCACAAAACTGTCTTACAAAAGACTGTCTTTCAGTTCTACAGAACATAAAAAACACTTTTTTGCCCAAAACATTTAGCAATCCTTATATTTTTCTAATAAAAGATCAATTAATGCATTTAGCAGACTCTGGCTTTAATATAAAATTTATTTGGGTTAAGGCACATATTGGACTCAAAGATAATGAATATGTAGATTACTTAGCTAAAACCAGTATAATGTCAGGAAATTTATTGTCATATTCTTTATGTGTATCAGATGCCATTAGAATTAAAAAAAAAAACAGCTATCGACATGGAGAGATCAATGGAATCTTTACTGCTTTACAAACCAAACAAGATACACCACTTTACAACCAGTTATTCCACAAAGTACTTGGTTTAAGAATTTTAAATCGCCACGTAAATATATAACCACCATAAATAGACTACGCTTTGGACATGCGTGTTATCCAAGTCATTTACATAAAATAAATGTGATTGAAGATGATAATTGCAAACATTGCGGAAAACTGGGTGATCTTGATCACATTTTTTTTGAATGCTCTGAAGTTTCAACAGCATTCAAACTGTCTCTACAAAAAATTAATAGAATTTAATATGTATGCACCATTCAATATTCAGTCGCTACTGGCGACAGGCTCACAAAATATATATAATATCATTATAGATTTCTTGTCAGACACATGCACGGTTCTATAGAATTTGTAAGCGAGCATGAAATTTTCTTGATCGTGTAGAAATTTAGATTTGTATTCTTTGTTTAACCTAAATGTTATAACACCTTATCCGTGGTCCAGTTTTGTTTGTCTACTAAGAATGTCTTGATGGGCCCCTAGACGAGAAGCAAGTGACCCTGTAAGTTTCCTTGTCGTATATTCTTCTATTAATTATCCGTTAGTTTTGTATTATGGATAGAGTTGTGCATTTGTCTGATTGGAGAATCTAAGAATCTATTGCAACTGGCTGAATGACTAATATCAATGCCATTAAAAAAAACCAAAACGGATGCTTATGACCGGTACTAGAATTTCACAATTAATGGAATCGACTTAACTCTAGATGATAAGGAATCGTACCAGTTTTTGTTTTTGTAACTAGAAGCGTTCTGCAGGTATTTAAAAAAAAACTAATTACAAGGCGCAATCTTCAAAGAACTATAGCTTCCTTATGAAGCATTTTCGGACTAGGTGAATTATAATAAATTGTCTTAATATTATCTGAGGACTTTCCGGTCATCGTTTGTCAGGAGAGTTTTTGGACACTCTGTATACAATATTACAGAATAATAGTGTATTTGTATTCACCACTAAAGTTTTATATCTTAGCATCTTGTATACAACATGCAATACACTACGTTAAACCAGAATTCAGGTGTATATTAGGAAGTTTAATTTCATTAACAGAAATATGCCATAACTTGTTGAATACAAATCATTTTAAAAATATATAAAAAGTAGTACGAGAAACGATTTTTTTTCTAATATAAATCGGATTATGGCTATTTGAAATAATAATTAATACTGGTTAAGGCATAAGTGCGTTTTGCAAGTAGTTTTTTTTTAAGAAATTAAGATTGTACTCACCTATGCGTTTTCTGCAGTAGCCTATTCCTGAATCTGCCGTAAACACTTTCAGGCCCATCTTCAACGACATATTTTACTCTTCCATGTGACGCTACCAAAGGCCGTCCCGACATCCCCAAATCCATTTGTATATCAACTACCACCACTAATGTAAACAACACCACGGCCACGCACAACCCGAGGACGATTCGTTCCTTCCACTTAAGTCCTCCGCGTAACATTTTTGCGAAGACACCACGCGGCAAAGTGTCCGATAGACCCGAACTGACTTCAGCGAAATGAGTTTTTGTTGACGCGACAGACTGAGTTGTGTAATTGTCACCTAATTTCGACTTGCAGTACTCGGGCGGTGGAGAATACTTTGTTTTAACGCGGTAATTATCAGTGAGTACTGTTGTTTCTTTGGAAAAATCTTTGGTTTTAGTTGACAGAACGTCTAATTCGAGTTGTTTATCTACATCTCTCAGTCTTCTTAACGTTAATTCATTATACTGAATTGGATTTGTGTGCACGATTTGCTTTGACTTATCAACATGATAACGAGGTGATAAGGTATCTCCTACCAAAGAAATTTTATTTTCGTTTAGTTTGATTCCAGTGTTGAACTCCTTAACAACTGATTTTTTATTTTTGTTATCTAACTTTTTAAATATCGCGTTTAAAAACGATTTTTTATTTTTTTGATCTAAATTTCTATGTACAGGGTGATTCTCAGATTCTTCAGATTTAGTTTTTCTTAATATTTTTCTTACAAACTTTGGACTGTACTGATCATAAATATATCCCTCTTGGTCTTTGAGGAGCTCTTCTTCGCTTGCAGCTAGACCGTATTGAGCCTTGTATCGTCTGGCTAAAATTATAGAGTTCTGAGGAGTGTGTTTCTTTAGTACCGACGGATAGCCATTGGGTAACTGATGATTGTTTGTAGACAGAAACGTTGCCGCGTTCTGTTGGAATGTATTTGGAGTGGCTGCAAGATTTGAACATTGCAGCCTGCTGGAGTTGCGAATATCCAGATTTTTCTAATTCAGTCAATCTTTTCCTGAAAAAAAAAAAATAAATATGATTAAAAATACTTTACATGTAATGTCTTAGTTTCTATTAACGCAAACTTGATATACACTTGTTTCAATATGCACATTTGAAAAGCCATAATGTTGTTTTATCATAAAAATTTTTTTTTATAATTTATGTATTAAATCTTAGATCTACCATAGATCCATCATAGATCAAATATTCATATTACAAATAATTCAGTACAGCTTTATAGATCCAGGAATATATCTACCTATGCCAAATCCTGAGACTTGACAAAGAGAACCAAAGTGCAGAAAATTACTAGAAGAGCCAGACTAGCATAGGCAGGATTTGGAAAACTTAGTTGGATACTTAAGAACCGCAACATACCCCAATACTTAAGGAGCAAAGTGTTTAACCAATCCATTCTCCCTATCATGATATATGGATGTCAAACATGGACCTTAACCAAGGCAAACAAAAATGAACTAGCCACAACAGAAATAACAATGGAAAGAGCAATGTTAGGTATACGACTGTCAGATAAAAAGAAGAATGACTGGGTAAGATCCAAAACAAAAGTCGAGGACATAACAACAAAAATTGCCAAACTTAAATGGAGCTTCACGGGCCACACTGCTAGACAGAAAGACCAACGTTGGAATACTACAATACAACATTGGAGACCTTACGAAAGTAAACGACCAAGAGGAAGACCACAGATGAGATGGGTTGGCGACATTAAAAGAATAGCCGGAACAAATTGGAAATATGTTGCTCAGGATAGAGACCGATGGAAGGATTTGGGAGAGGCCTATGTCCAAACATGGACGACAGAAGGCTAATAATAAGAAGAAGAAAAGACTATAAAGATGTTTGAAGAAGACGAACAAATGAAGAGATTAGAGACCTGTACGGGAAACCGGAAATTAGCCAAATCGTCAGGAGACTAGATCGTTAGGCTATATTACGAGAATAGCTGATGGAAGGTGAGCAAAGGGTCTTGCTGCTGAGAGCGGAAGGAAAGAAAAAGAGAAGAGAATGAACAGGAAAAACATTCTATAATGGTTATAGAAGCATTATTTTTTTGTTTTGTTTTTTTGGACTTTAGGCTTATTTAAAAATTAATTTTAATATTGAGTATAATTCTAGTAAACATGATGAAATAGACTATAATGATAATTAAAGGTTTAAAAAAATATGTTTGAAATTATATATTCAAAATTCCCGATAAATTTGCATATTCACATATTAGTTAGAATATTGTTTTAATGATAATAAAGCCATTTAATGAAATAACTTTCTTAAAAACTACTGTATTTCACAGTTATGCTGATTAATATCGTTAGGATAACAATGATGTAATTTGTATAAATGAGGATATATAATTTGCTCGAAAATTATTTAAATTATTTGATTTAATTATCTATTTTAACAAATAAAGTAATACATGATTTAATAATAATATAAACAAAATAACAAATACACCAATTCCTGCATATAAAATTAGGTTTTTTGATCAATTTTTTGATCAAATGAACGTTTGATCGCCTTAAATTCATAATTTCATTTAGAAATATACCTAACTATTTGCGGGCAATTTTGTTGTATATAAACGAATACAACGACGTTTTTGTTAAATGCTAGAAAATATGAACAGTTAACTAAAGTATTAACTAAAACAGGTTTACTTTATTATAAGTTAGCGCTCAATCACCTTCCTACTCGACATAAGAGGTCTACTGTGGCTCATCCCTAGGTTAAATTGTCCTTCTACGAGGTCGTAGAGCCTGAGTCGATAATACTCAAATTTATTGAGCCGAATTATATTCAATCCTGGGCAGTCGCCTAGAAAATTTTTCACCGTCTTGTCTTCAACCTGACAAAATCTTCAATCTTCACTTTCTGTCAGTCCGATTTTATTTATGTTTTTATATTTAAGACCGATTTGTTCATTCGCTATGTGCAAGTTCCGAAGAGCGACACCTACTGGCAGAAATCATTGAAGGCGTTCGCATTATTATATCAATACAGTGGAACCTCGATTAACCGTCTCTCTATTAACCGTCACCTCTGTTAACCGTCAGGGTCCATACATAAGTTATATTGACAACATAAGTAAAAATTACTTTTGTTTAAACAATGCACCTGCCCATCCTAAAGCCGATATGCTGCAGAGTGACGATAAAAATATCACGTACTCTTTTCTGCCTGCGAAAATAATATCATTGATACAGCCAATGGATCATTCGGTCATTAAAAAACATTCAAAAGAATATACAGAAAAAAATTATTCAAAACCTAGTTATGGAAGAGTAATCATTCTTTGCCAAAATACTGGAAAGCTTACAATTTAAAACACGCAGTCGACAATGGCTGTGGATGCTTGGGCTGATGTTTCGGAAGTAACGTTGCAAAGATAAAAATGTTACCCCTTAAATGAATGTGGCTGAATCAACTGTTTTGTTTTCGTTGCCTTAAGATGACTTAAACGACTGATTAATTTGTGATAAGTACGCCAACGACTATCGATTGCTGACACATGATGAAATCGTTGAAATGGCGACAGGGCGGACGAAACAGATTCAGAAGCTGCAGAGACTCGATGGTGGCGATGTTGATGATGCAATTACAACACACTAGATTTGCGTAAAGAAGCCAGAGGAGCTGCATCGCACATACAATAATTCATCAATGGTATTCTCGGCAAGAAGAAGCAAACAAGGTAGATTTGATAATTCTACGTCGATAAGAAACTCAGGCCGTTGCAAAATGTGAAGTAAACATAAAACAAACAAATAATTCGGAATAATTTTAATCAAATGATTCGACTGTACTAACATAAATCCCTCTTAATTGTACAAATAAAACATACAAAATTAAAATTTGAGAGTTATACTATGATTTTATTTTAATGTTCTGTTAACCGTCCTTTTCGATTATCCGTCATACCCCTTGGTCCGGTGCCCTGACGGATAATCGAGGTTCTACTGTACTAACTTTTTGAACAAACTGAACTAAAAAAACTTTTAAATTTATTTTTAACTGTAAAAAATCAAAAGTAATATTTATATTACGTTTAGATTTCATAATTGTGACATTTAAGATTGAGGTTATGAGGTTATTAAAAGGTAAGTATCTAGTAAATAAAATTAAATTTTAAATTGTAGTCACAGACCACTAATAACTAGACGTTTCACGTAGGTAGCTCAAGGTCAAATTAAACTTAATGTCATTTGTATGTACCGATACTAAATTCTTCAGATGTCGCTTTACTCTAATCTCTACTTTTACTCTGCATTTTAGGTTTAGAACACAACTAAGAAAAGAATTATAATTATAACTGTCAATCGCCAATTGTCATATTAGCGTCTATATTTTGATTTTGTTAGTGTTAGTTTGTAAATTACAAAACAAATCACCTACCTCAGTGATCTACGTTTTAAATGTTCCTGGCGTGTTCAAATAGTATTTTGCAGATTAATAATAATCAGTTAAATATGGTTTTCACAATAAATGTTGTATCCTACAATGTACTAATTCGTCATTAATTAGACATACCTTTCCAAACCCACGATGAAGGCATTACACGATTTAGGAAGTGGCTTAGTGTTATAAAATAGTCCTAATTTAGATGATGAATGCTAGTACAGTTTATAAAACAAAACGAAATCTGCGACAGACACATTGAAGATAAGTTTGTTTCTTCATGGAGTCATAAATATGTAAAAAAATGCAATTACCTAGCTTAAATTTGTATGGTGAGTTCCAATAAAATATTTGATATTAGAGAACAAATTGATTGATGAACTTAAATCTGCAACTTCTTTCCTTGAGTTCCGTAAAAGAACAAAATCCTATCTATCTGAAAGATCATATTATTCAGTATGAAGAGTTTCTTAAGAATAGTGTTATGTACAAGTAACTAAACAATTTGTATAAATATTTAAATTATAAATATAATATGAGTATCACATGCAGAAACTTGTATTAAAATGTATTAGTTTGTAAGGATTTATTATGCATATTTATTTAAATTTTGCAATACATTGTGTATATTTATTATTTTTTATTTTGTGATATTGACGATTTATGTAATTTCAGTAAATTTTAAATTGCTATTTTTTCTGACTTTTTTTGTAAGCTTTTTCCATAAAATTGTACAATTTTCAGTGATAATAGCATATTTTTATTCTATATTAAA